GAGAGAGAGAGAGAAAAAAGAAACAGTCGAGTTATCAAGAGCTGATTTCCTGACGAAGGATGCCTTTGTAAGCGTCGTTGCCCCTCAAAGAAAATCGATACTTTGAATTAATTGACCTACATCGGCAACGAGGACTGGTGACCTCATCGTTAGGTTCGGCGCGAATAAGCCAATCGGTTATATACGCGGTTACAACATTGCGGCGTGCCGTAACAAATAGGTACACGCTAATAATGAAATCAATATTTAATGCGCATAATTGAACACGGTTCAGTAAATATATGTATTTTCCAAGCGCTAAATTCACCTACGCTTTATATAAGTTTTACTCCTACAAATCTACTCTTGGCGATTATCCCCCTTTGATTTCCTGATGCGCGAATGAAAGATAAAAATCTCGAGATATTCGTTTATTCACTCGTACGGCTTACTTTATTTTTCATTTAATAATGCATGTTTGTGGCAGAATATAATATGGCTTCTCATTTATTATGCTTTCGACTGGAAAGAATCTGCTTTTATCATTTTATTTTGCGACTCCACGATGGATTTGCTGCCGCGTCTATCTTTAATGCATCGCCACGGTGCTCCGTTATTAAAATGCCGCTATGCCATGACCGCCGCGAATGCCCTGGCTATATGAACGGTAAAGCAAACTAGGAAATTTTCCATCGTCATCGGCCGTCTGTAGCCCAGCATTAATCTACCTTTCTCATTTTCGAAATGCCCGCGCCGAACATTTACTCGAGTTTTTCGCACTCAATCCCGTTCGTTTTCACAGCGATTCGAACCAATTATTGCCGTCCGCAGTCCGTTGCGTAAAAAGTCTGTCTCGCTCGTTTTATTTTCGTCGTTTATCGCTCGGACGCGGCGTGCGAAGAGCTCGCCCGCTGGAAAGAACTAGTATTGACTTGTTCAAGTCGAGACCTAAGTGGAGTTGGAACATAATCAGATTACTAGCATTAACGCCGCATTATATACTCGCCGTAGAGACGCTCGTCCAAGATTCGCAGCTTCGGGGGACGATTTTGTCGTCGCGCGACGAGGACCGCGCAAGTTAAGTCGCGGGATTGTGATCAGGAAAACGCAATGATGAATCGTTGCCCCGGCGATCACGTGCCTCGCGTCGCTCCCATTGTTAACGCACGGATCTTTTCGCAAGACCGTGATGACGGATGCGTATCGAAAGAAATCGCGAACGTTAACAGCGCCGATCGTTCCGAGAGGAGGATCCAATAAACGCTATCACGCCCGGCCGTTTAACCTTTTCCCCGCAGGTTCAAGGAACCTCCGTACGCCGTATCGCCGGGCGTCGTGTATCATGCGTGCCGCGCGTGATTGCTCGACGTAAATAAATTGCCGATCCCCACGAAAAGAATTTTGCGAGACGGGGCGATGCTGCGCGAATCCGCCGGGATCTTAACGATCCGCAAGTATCGCTCGCGTGACGATACTCCCGGGTGGTAGATGCTCCAATTGAACCCATCAATTTTTCCCAGTCTTGCCACGCGTCCATGATATCCCTGGGATGCACTTGTTTGTTGACAGTCCAATCGAAGACATTCTTTCAGTCTGATCGAGCCTGCGAAGCCTGATCGTCCAGCTCGCGGAATTTAAAAAGTTGCCATATTAATTTTCTAATCTGATGGCATCTCGTGACATGCATGTAAAATGTTAGTACAGTTTCTCGCTTACGCGGGATTGAGATACGATCGCTGCGATGTGTTTCGATCGTTCTTACTCAGCCGATGTCATGTCAGCGGACACCCTAGTTCTCGTCTTCGTATGTGTATCTATTTTCATATTTTTGTAGTGATGACTCGTCGATTCACTTTTCCTAGGAAGCAACCATCCGTGTGTCGTATGCACACGAATGTGCGCATTCTTGTTGTAATTGTCCACTTGCCAAATGCCGCTTCAAGGTGGATCGTAGCGGTAGTTGCAAACTATGAGGTGATGAATACATTGCAGTAAACGTTATTGCGAACCGAAATGGAGCACCAGATCTCACGCATTTGTACAAAGAAAAACGCAAGTGCGTCGCATAGCTTCGCACACTTTTCTCGATTATTAAGTTAACAAACGATAACAAAATGTAAACTAACGAATGGACGCACGTAGGGCAATTTCTGTTAATTATACTCCGCAATAATGCATAAATAGTAAAGATGGATAAAAATGTAATTAGGTGGAATGCGCGTTCTATTGCGGAAAAACTAGTAATTGCAAATAGCAATAAGCGATATTGTGAACGATCGTGTCAAAGCTTGACTCTCGTGAAACGATGACTTCTATTGAATAATACATTTACCTGACGTAATTACGCTCGCCTATTTTGCGCCAAATTCTATAAATTCTCCGACGAGAAGGGAAGCTTTCGCTTGTCTCACCGCAAGAGTTTATCCCTTGCGTCTGACCACAGGAATTTATCTACTGCTTGAACGCAGTCAGACTGTCTGACCAAGAAGTTCCACCACTACTGCTGAACTTTTATGTAATTGATACCAAATCATTTGTCGCCAGTTACATCCATAATCTCTTGAAATATATATAATTTAAATGTATATATTTTTAAATTATATACATTTGCTACATTATATTGAAAACTACAATACTCAACACACATACAATACACTACAAAGAAATACCTTTTGCTGTATATTTTGCATATTTTTCATATTACATATATCATATATTTTTATTGGACACAATTTACGATCAATTTATATCATTAAGAACAATTTTTATGTTATATTTAAGACAAATACATATATTGAAGTGCACAATAGAAAACAAATTCATTCGCTCGTCAAATGAAGTTGTTATTTTAGCACTTGCACGCGTCGCATTTAAAAAATTGCTAGTTTTGTTTATACATATAATTCGCCGAGTTTGAAGAATCTTAGGGCTTGGATTATTTTCCAGTACCTTCTATACCACCATTTCCTACACCACCGCCTAAACCTCCACCCAAAGTATGGAAGGTACCACCTGCACCTCCCGCACCACCTACTAAACCTCTACCTAATGATGAAACAAGATTATACATGCTACCTAAAATATGGAAAGGACTTCCCACACCTCCCGCACCATGTCCTGAACCTCCTCCTAGAGCGCCTCCCGTACATCCTGTATTGTCCATTATACCTGACATTATGCTTGCCGTTTCAGTTGGTAAACCACAATCTGATATAGCTTGTTTCATCATTGAATGCGCACCATGGAAATTCCCCATAAAACGCAATACCACAATCATTGTATTGGATATCAATTTGAGAACACACTTGAACACTTTCAACTCGGCATGCACCATGCATTTGACAGATTCCGTAATTCTACTTATCATTGTCTCGGGAACAAATTTGCGCATCACCTTGGATAAGGCGGTACAAGAACCTTCAAGAACTTTCACGATCTTCGTTTTCATAATACATCCCTCTACGCTTTCGAAGGAGCTATCTATCATTCCATCCACGACTTTCATAACATTATGCCTGACTGTAACAGTCCTCCCTCCCTCCGTACTATGTGGCTCTAAAAAGTATCAAAACTTTATCGGTTGTACATGATCGCAATTTTTAATATCAGGAATAATAGTGTAGATTATATATACTATACATAATTTAATTATCTCTCTTACTAAAAATTCTTCTTAGTGAAATGAGTAAGAATAATTGTTGACACAAGACGATATTATGCAATACTTGATAAGAAGGTAAATTTAAATGTACAGTTCCGTGTTACTGAATAAGTTCCGACATAAGAAAATAGGACAATCTACAATTTACTTTATTTGCAAGCGTACGACAAGCTACATGTCACAAGTAACTATATTTATTATTAGATACTTATTATTTTATTACAATTGCTTCATTTTGTCTTGTTCGGATCAATTTACATTGTAACAGGTTGCGAGTGAAAGTTCTCAGTATTATACATAATAATAATTTTTAATTTTTCTTGAACTTACCAGCTTGAACATAGATCACGGCAACTGCCAAGACCAACAGATATAAACCCTTATAGCCCATGTTTTCTAAGCAGTGTACAGTATGAATTCAAGCGCAACGTACTGCACTAATGGTACCCACGTCGCTCGCTCGGCGCATTTATAGGGACGCCGATAATTATAATGCAAGACAATTACTGGCCTATCATTTGCGCAGGTATATGTGTATATAACGCACTTTGTCTTCGTATGTTCGTACGTGAAGCACGATGACGTTCACACTGCAATTTCGTAATAGTTTCCTACGAACAAATTTGACTTAAATTCTTTAAAGCAGTGTCATTAATTTTTGGCAAAAAATTAAACATTGGTTGAGATTATAATGCACGATGAGTTTAATGTAGACTCAAGATTTTAATTTCCTTGTCAGATCTATATACTTTATGTGTGGGTGTGTGTGTATAAAGATCCACCTGTTTTGAGCGATTTCATTTTTGTTGGAACTTCTAATTCTGATCATTGAATGTTTATAATTGTGATTCGCTGTATAGTCGAGATTTTATGAAAAATGTTTATTAGATTATTTTTAAATACCTGTAACGGGAGTATGATAAAACTTCTTGTGCGCGTTTTTTTCCCGATAATTTTATCACAAAGATAGACTTATTTTATAAAACTCTATTTACATTCTTATAAAAATTTTATTATTACTCTTATTGAAAGTCAAAGTCAAGGAATGTCAAAAATAATTGTCAAATAATTATTGAGTAATATCAGTCTTATCATTAACCTTGTTACTGGGGCAGAGCTTATTGAAAGTCAAAGTCAAGGAATGTCAAAAATAATTGTCAAATAATTATTGAGTAATATCATTCTTATCATTAACCTTGTTACTACATTGTGGAATTTTGTATCCTTGCCTGTTAATGACAGATAAGGAGACAGTACAAAGAACAATAGCAATTATTTATCTGTACGTGGCATATTACGTTACTTTATCACTTCTTGATAAAATGTCAAAAACGATTGTGAATTGTATGAAGATAAAAGAAAATTTTCCATAACTTTGCGTTTTGATTGTTTTGATTATTTTTTGTCGGAATATTTTTTCGTGCTGCTATACGAAACGTAGTTTATTCAAATTAGTTAATTATATAGAAACCCTAAAAATTATGGAGTCATACTTGACTTTAAGAATCTCGTCGCAATTTATTCACAGAACTTTTTACACATACATTTTATACATAAGAATATACTTCAAACCTGGCTAGATATAATATTGATCGAGAACGTTAGTTTAGTAGCTCCTCCTTCACTCAACTTTTCGGAAATCCGGGGAAGTTGGAAACGACCAGAGTCACGAATCTCATATGCAGTGACTCTTCTCGCTCTTTTGAACTGAGAAGTTAGGGTCGATCGGATCAATTCGTTTTACTTACTTTTTTGAAATTTTACCGTATATTTTAATAAAATTTACTCAAATCTATAGTAAAATTTGTTAAAATGTTAAATTTTAAGAGACTCATAAAATTCTTCGAAATCCCATATTGTCCCACGACTACTTTGATTCTCAGAGTAAATTCCGAGAGAAAATTCCTTTCGTGTGGAATGTATTTGTTGACAGTTCAATCGAAGATATTCTTTAACTCTGATCGAGCCCGCGAATCTTGATCGTTCGATTCGTAGAATTTAAAAAGTTGCTTATTAATTCTGCAATCTGACGTCATCAGTAATATGCATGAAAATTCAAACAAGACTCTTTAAAGAAGTACGAGGAGTTCGGAGTACAGTTTCTCAAACGCGGAATTTAGTTATCATCGCTGCGACGTATTTCAGTCGTTATTACTCAGTTGATGTCATGTCAGCAGACATCCCAGTTCTCGTCTTCGTATGTGCATCTATTTTCATTTCTTCTATTGATTATTCGTATATTAATTTTTCCTAAGAAGCAATCGTCCGTGTTTCTGTCTACACGAATGTGCGCATTTTCGTTGTAATTGTCAACTTGCCAAATTCCACTTCAAGGTGGTTCGTAGCGATAGTTGCAAACTATGAGGTGATGAATAAATTGCAGTAAGTGTCATGTGAACCGAAATGGATCATCAGAAATCATGCGTTTCGCTTGAATATACACTTGTACAAAGAAAACCGCAAGTGCGTTGTATAGCTTCGCACATTATTCTCGATTATTAAGAAACAAACGATAACATAGAATGTAAACGAACGGATGCACGTAGCTAGTTGGAAAATTTCTATTAAATAGTTTAATTATACTTTGCACTAACGCATAAATGTTGGATAATTAGGTGAGATGCGTATTCTATTGCAGAAAAACTAGTCATTTCAAATGGCAATAAGCGGTATTGTGAACGATCATCTAAAGTGTTGACCTAAACTTGACTTTTGTGAAACGATGACATCTAATGAATAATACATTTACCTGACGTAACTACGCGCGCTCATGTAGCCCTATTATGCACCACATTCTATGAATCCTTCGACGAGAAAGGGAGCTTTCGCTTGTCTCAGCACAGTAGCTATCCCTTGTGTCTAACCACAAGAATTTATCTACTGCCGGAAGTTAAACTGTCTGATCAAGAAGTTCTACCATTATTGCCGAGCTCTCGTGTAATTTTCAAATAATTTGTCGCTATTACACTTGTAACGTTTTACAATATATATAACATGTGTTTTATGAACGTATAATTTTTTCGAATTATACATTCACCACGCAATAGTAAAAATACAATACTCAAAGAAACATATTTTGCTATATATATATATATTTTACACATTTTACATATGCACATATTACATATTTTTATTTCAGTTTACAATCAATTTGTATTATTAAGATCAATTTTTATGTTATACATAAAAATAAATATATCTAAGTACATAATAGAAAACATTTTCACTCATTCTTTGATGAAATGAACTTTGTTGTTATTAGCACTTGTACGCGTTGCGTTTCAACAATTCTTGCCATTTTTGTTTATATAATTCGCCGAGTGTGAAAAATTGTAGGGCTTGGATCTATCCCATTCCTACGGATCCTATACCAAAGCCTGTACCGCCTGCACCTCCTGCAGAACCTCCAGCAGCACCTACTACAGCACTTGCCTCACCTCCTTCACCTCCTACGCCACCGGCACCTCCTGCACCTCCAATTCCAACTCCTTCACCACCACCGCCTCCTATACCATCTGCGTAACCACCTCCCATACCACCATGACCACCTCCATAACCACCTCCTGTACTAGCACCTCCCATACTACCTCCATGACCACCTTTAGTACCACATCCATGGCCATTTCTTATACTACCACCTTCATAACCACCTCCATGACCAATTCCATGACCACCTCCATAACCACCTCCGTAACCACCTCCGTAACCACCTCCATAACCACCTCCATGACCGGCTCCATGATGGCCTCCATAACCACCTCCATAACTGCCTCCATGACCACCTCCATAACCATCTCCTATGCTACCTCCATGGCCACCTCCATAACCACCTCCTATGCTACCTCCGTGGCCACCTCCATGGCCACCTCCATAACCACCTCCATAACCACCTCCCATACTTCCCATACAATCTACCATATATGTTATTACGCGTACCATTTCAGATGATAAACCACAACCTGATAGAGATTGTTTCATCATTGAAAGTGCACCAGGTAATTTTCCCATGAGACACAACATCATAATCACTGAGTTGCACATCAATTTGAGCATACATTTCAACAATTGCAATTTGGCTCTTATCAAGCATCCAACAGACTCTATAATTCTCTCTATCATTTCGTGGGGCACATATTTGCACATAACCTTGGATAAGGCAGTACAAGAACCTTTAAGGAATTTTACGATTTTCGTTTCCATTATACATCCCATTATGTTGCTCATGGAACCTTCCATCATTCCGTCCATCATATTCATAGCTTGACCGCCCATGACTGAGACATGTCTTTCGGCTCTTTTTTGCTCTGAAAAATTTCGAAATTCCATCAATCGTACATGATCACGATTTTGAAAATAAATACTAATAATATACTTTATATCAGGGTTGGGAAAGTTACTTTATAAAAGTAACTCGTTACCGTCACTCAAAAACTAACAAGTCGTTACTATTTTCGTTGGTCTTTTTTTCTTGATATTAGTACAATTAAATACAAATTTCTGCAGTAAATACAAACAGAAGGTGTGAGTTGAAAATTGAAAAATGACCAATGACTGTCGAGAACGTCAGCAGCCATTTTGAAACTTAAGCAATACTGAAAATTCCCATTGGTTGAAATTCTTTGGTCTTAGGTCTTGCTACTTAAGTTTCTTCGTGTGTTTCTAGCTTCACCCATTCGTTACAAAAAAAAAGAAGTAATTGTAACGGTAACGACGTTTACTTTTCCAACCTTGGCTTATATACATATAATATATATGATTTAGTATATTTCTTTTAGTACAAGTTGTTCTTTTATTGAAATAAATAAAAATAATTGTTGACACAAAGCATTACATTATGCAATACTCGACAGAAGAGGTAAATTTATAATTTAAATGTACAGTTCCGTGTAACTAAATAAAATAATACGATAAGAAAATAAGAGAATTTACAGTCTTTGTTCCGAACTAACAAGGCAAGCTGCATGCCAGAATGTAATCTAGTGACAATATTTATTATTATACAACTATTGTTATTTTATTTCAATTACTTTATTTTGTCTTATTCGGATTAATTTACATGTTACGCGTATAACATGTTGCGAGAGAAAGATCTCACTAAGTATTACACATATAATAATTATTTTTGCTTGGACTTACCAGCCTGGACATAGATCACGGCAAATGCCAAGACCAACAGATATAAAATCTTGTACCCCATGGTTCTAGGAGTGTTATTGACCGTATGAATACAAGCGCAACGTACTGCACTAATGGTACCGACGTCTCTCACTCGGCGCTTTTTATAGGGACGCTAATAATTATACTGCAAAACAATTACTGGTCTATCGTTTGTGTAGGTATATGTGTATGTGACGTACTTTTGTTCTTGTATATTCGTGCATTTCATGCAAGATGATGGGTCTTCCGCATTACTATCTCGTAATAGTTTCCTACAAATAAAAGTTTAAATCCTTTAAGGTCTCTAAATAAATTTGTGTGGCAGTAGGTTGAAAATTTATTGTTGAGATTATCATTCACGATGGGTTAAAGTAGATTCGAGATTTTCAATTTCCTTGTCACATCTGTACTTCTGGGTGTATGTACGTGAAGGTCTACCTGTTTCAATCTGTTTCATTTTAGTTAGAGCCTCTAATTCTAACCATTAAATCTTTATAATTGTGATCGGACAATCGCGATTTTATGAAAAATTTTTATTAGATTAATTTTGAACAACAGTAAAGACGGGATGACGAAACTTCCCTTGTGCACGTATTTTTTCCGGTGATTGTATCGCGAAGATAAATTTGTTAAGTATGTAAATAAATTTTATTATTATTATAAAATTTTATTATTATTCTTATTTGAAAGTGAAGGAATGTCAAAAATAATTGTCAAATAATTGTTGAACAATATCTTCCTTATCGTTAACCTTGTTACTACAATGTGCAATTTTTTATCATTACTTAATAATAACAGATAAAAAGACAAGACAAAGAACAATTAGCAATTATTTGCACGTGCATTCGTTGGTGCAATAGTATTTATCTGCACGTGGCGTATTATGTCACTCTATCACCTCTTAATAAAATTTGAAAAACAATTCTGAATTGTACCAAGATAAAGAAAATTTTTCCATAAATTTTTATTTCGTTCGTTTTGAATATTTTTTTGCCGAGATATTTTTTTCCATGCTTTTATACAAAGCGTGGTTTATTTAAATTATTTAATTAGTATTCTCGAAAATTGTGGAATATTTGACTTAAAAAATCTCAGTGCAAACTTACACACATACATTTCATACATAAAATGTATCCCCAACCTTTATAACTACATAAATATATATGTATTGCTTCCTCATAGAGGAAGTTTCTTCTTAACGCAATTTTTTTTTAATTTGCGAAAATTGTAAACGACAGGAGTCACGAATCTAATTTGTAGTTACTCTTCTACGTAGGCTGTTTTAAACTCAGAAGTTAGGATCAATCGGATCAATTACTTACATTGCAATTTTTCGTTTGTCTGATTAGCTTGGAAGAACAAATTTTCATGAATACTTTTTTAAAAAAATGCCGCATAATAGTTGTTAGGTAAAAAACAAAAAATTGAAAGAGACGTGTAATTAGATACAAATATTCACGTTACAAAATAATTTTTCACCAATCTCCCCTATTCACGCGTTCGTTTCACTCTCAGATTCATATTTTCCTGAATTTGTGCTAACGAAATATATGTTTTACATAAATGTCATTTTTGCTTACATTTTGAGTTTTCTAGAAAGTTTTACAGATAATTTCTGAGTTTCTGATAATTCCGAAAAAAAGTTGGACAAAAGTTATTCAAATACCAAGTCGTTCTCTTCGTTGAACAGCGCAAAAGGGAAGGTTGAGAAACATTTGCGAGTATATCCCGAAATCCATAATATTGGCGTCTAGCCAGGCAGACGTGGCGCCTGGCTCCGTAACGCCCCATATAAGAACGTATTCCTTCGGTGTAAAACTTGTTTCTTTTTAACATTAGATATTTTCGATAACTGCGCCTTTGATATATCATTGCGAGATAAAGTTCACTGTTTAAATTGAATAAGAGATAAAGATTTATTCGCCAAGGGTTTTGCATTATTAATTACTCAGAATAATTGATGCGATATCTTTCCGATAATTGCTTCTTTGAAGAAAAATATTTGTCCTATTTAAGTGAGTCCATGACTCAAAAGTAGTTTTGTATAACGTTTCCATATATTTGTACAGCAAATGGAGGTGATTTCTATGAAAACTGCTTTGGGCGTGAAACCCGCCGTAAGCGTGGGATGCAGTTGACTCTGATTGCATTCGATTACGCGCAACATGGCTGAGGAGTCAACCGAAAACTGCCACAGGTGCATATTGCACGTACTGATCGGCTCGATCGTATGCAAATGTCGGGTCAGCTGCTTTTATTATTACGAGCGATCTGTCGCGGCTGTCGTATCAGCTGATCGCCATTTATTCTAATGCATTCCAGCCTCGTGTGCAGTACGTATTGCAGACAGCATAAACGCATGCACCATATCGATAAACGGTTCCTACGAAAGCGGTATTGAAAGAAAATACCGCTTATGCTTCTGACATCATCGGATGTTCTGACATGCAAAACGGAGTGTGTTTAGCGACAATAAGCCTTATAACAATGATACCTTATGATAACGTATCATAAGAGGCTTCATTACGGATGCTCACCGTCAAACGTATTGTGGTTGTGTGTGTGTGAGGAACAATTGGTTACATAATACGAAAAAAAATGTTGAAATCGCACCGATCGGAGAAATACATATCCTGCTTGCAATTCAACTAAAGGAGAAAGGGGGAAGTACGAATTGGCGCGCTGTGTAAGAAACGACCGTATCTGCACTTTAAAAGCGAGTCTCGCATTCTTCTGTTTATTGCGCTGCGCAGATCGTGATATCATCATTTGAATAAATGATTATTGCGCGCACTCTAGACCGCTTTTAATTTATTAATCTCTATTCAAGGTGATGAAAGGGTTCGTGAGCTATTCTTTTTTAATAGGAGCACGTACGTCGAAAATTCTGATATTTTACACGTTATAATATACTCTCTAAAAGTCAATCAGTGGATTATCACTGGAAACATAATGTCACTGAATAGTCACTGATTCACAGTTATAAGTATAAAACATGAATAGTCACTGATTCACAATTGTAAGTATACCACTGCAATTTTCAGTATACTCGTAACTGCAAATCAGTGACTATTCACTGATTGATTTTTAGATAGTAACAAAATATTCCTCTTTACCGTATAAATTTGCGTATTTCTTCCAGATATTTTCATGTCAAGAATTTAAGTTTTCTTCTCGGTTTATTATTAGTTCCCGGCGTATCTCTGCATTTTACATGCATATAGTTATGAAGTTGCATTTGTTCTTATTTGGCGTTCAATATTCTTATCAGAGAAACATGCGTCGCGTTGCAGCCGCATTTTTCCCCGCGAACTGTTCCGTTCAATAGCATCGATAGGACGGAATGATTCAGTTGACAAGTCGTCCAAAGTATCGGGTTTATTAATTATCGCGAATAACCGACCGCGAGCATCGTTGGTGGCAATAATTGTCAAAAATAAGTCGTGAAACCGCGCGCTGACACAATTTCCACCTACAAAAACAAGGAACCCCAGATAGTTACTAAGTAGGTCGGCCGCATAACTTACGATTTGAACGAAGGGCGCGCAATCTTATCGCGAATTTCGCGTATCTTTCTTCGTCCGTGAAAAATATTTCGCCCGCCGACATTGTTAATGCGAGCGCACGGATACTTCAGGGCTTGATTTACGACCCGCGGGACCTGCGTTCGGTGTAATTTGTTTAAACGTCGATAAAGTTGTTTACATTATCATGTGTACATCTAGATTTCGCCTTTTGCTTTGTTTGGCTCCGGCGTATTTCGGTACAGGAATACGAGCCGTCTCGTATTGCGTCGTTTTTGATGAGCCATTAGTCGAGCAAGTGGCGTCCGCTTTCGATCGAGGAAGAATGTCCGACAGGTGCGGAGAAAAGTTCGCGGAAGATAAACTCGCGCTCGCGCTTCCCTGAAGCAAGAAATTATTTTCCCTGTCGCGTGTAAGGGGCCGAGTGTTACCAATCGTTCATCGACGGTTTGAAATTGATGCTGACCATTCGCTAGGTGGCTGCGGGGTAATCCGCGAGATCGTAAAAAGAACAGTTAAATCGCAGCGGGCACGATAAATTTGATCATGCACATCTCTCCGAGTCTGGTCCTTCAGAAAAAGAAATTCCCTCGTATCTCGTCGATGTCTCTCTTGAGTGCAGTTTTTTTATCATCTTAAAAGATATTACCGGCCGCTATTTTCGTAGCGAGTCTCGCATGGATTTTCAATCGTACGTGCAGAAACGTGTTGAAATTATTTTAGATAACCGAGCCATCGGCTTCTAGACGTCTGGCATTATCATAAAAGACTTACGGACCCGAGATAACGGGAGCAGCAAATACGCGGTAAATGACGTAAATGTTACTTGACGTACTCGAGGATGCGAAGCTTTCATTTGTAGATACGAGCGTGGTACGCTCATCCCGGAAACAGATTACTGCAACTATCTTTATGGTACATCGATTTATTGCCATCATCTGCGTTTTCGCATCATTCTGCGCGGGTCAAATGTATGCTCCAACCGAGGGAGGATGTGTTGTGCAGCCTCGGTGTTGTGAGACACTCGCGTCCCTGAAGTGCGACTATCGCCGTATTAAATATCGTCTGCGAGATGCATTATCGATCGCATTATCGGATAGAAGTGATCAAATAATGCTACTTAATTAATCGACGTCGTGCAAGTTTTTATATATGTATATCACGTTATTTGTCTTACGGCTATAACGATGTACGCCAAGTCGCTTGTACGTGTACCGTAATAATTACACTGTTGCAAGTGTTCGTATTTTCATCACTTGTCTATTTAGCCAGCTAATATTGCAACAAATTTTTGCGACACGCATTACGTGTGTATATAAAAACTGCATTTTCTCATCTTTTTCCAATAAGTCGTGTAAAAATAGAAAGGACGCACAGTATGTGCGTGAGGAGATACGCTGCGTTTTCATTGGGTAGCACTAAATAATGTAAGACAATACGATCATGCTCCATCACGTCTTTGGAAACCGCGCTCGTAGACTGTTTGTCTCCGCTGCATGATTCATAACTTCACCATGTCATGGATGAATTAATTATTGTCCATAAAGTAGCGTGAGAGGCGACGTCAGGTGTGTGAGAACATACAAATATGCAAATATAGCGTAAGAT